TTTCCTGTTTTGTTTTTTATGTTTTTCTGTTTCTCCAAAAAGTCTTACTTTCTTTTGATAGAAAATGATATTCATAAATTTTAAGATTTGGTGGTTGGTAATATATACACTGTTACTAGAGTGTCTGTGTTCTGGGCTTCCTTCATTGGACAGAGCTAGAAAACATGTTTTCAAAAACTGTTTATATTAGTATTTTAAATTCCAGTTTAAAGTGAACATTGTTATTGGGATTTGTTACAAGGAAAGTAGATTCGACTGAGTGCAGTTGATTTCTTTTCAGTTCTTTTTCCTTAGACTGTATTCCACTAAAAATGAACAGTTAGAGGACTTCCCTGGTAGTCCAGTGGTTAAGAATCCTTTTGCCAGTACTGGGGACACTGGCTCAATCCCTGGGCTGGAAAGATCCCACATGCTGTGGGCGACTAAGTCCATGTGCTCTAGAGCCCGTGCTCCACAACAAGAGAAGCCACCGCAATGAGAAGCCTGCGCACCACAGCTGGAGGGTAGCTCACCACTACCCCCATCACTGCAGCTAAAGAAAGCCTACCTGTGGAGGGAAAACCCAGCACCGCCACCCTCTCCCCGCCCCCCCACCCTCTCCCCGCCCCCACCAAAAAAAAGAACTGTTCAAAAGTTACTTGAAATGACACTTTTTTATTTGAGCAATTTGATTAGTTTTGACTATTAAGTCAGACTTTTTGCTTTTTGTTCATGATTGGGTGCATTTTTTTCTTTACTTTTTAATATAGTAAATATTTACATGGCTTAAAACTTGATACAATATTGAAAGAGTATGTAAATCTTGCTTCTGTTTCTGAGCTGTCTGTTCCTTTTTCACTCAACCAAAGTATGGTATGTTTATGTCTGCATCCTTATTTTCTTTTTCTTACAAAAGAGGTATACTATAAAAATTGTTTTTTTAAAAAATAATTTTATTTATTTATTGGCTCTACTGGGTCTTTTCTCTAGTTGTGGCCTTCGGGCGCTGCTTTCTAGTTGTAGGGCGTGGGCTTGTCATTGCTGTGGCTGCTCTTGTTGCTGAGTCGTCTAGGAGTTGTGGGCTTTAGTAGTGGCAGTGCAAGGGCTCAGTAGTTGTGATTCCAGGGCTCTGGCGCACAGGCTCAATAGTTGTGGCATAGGGGCTTAGTTGCTCTATGGCAACAGGATCTTCCCAGACCAGGGATCGAACTTGTGTCTTCTGCATTGGGAGGCAGATTCTGTTGTTTTCACTTCTTGATTATAGCAAATAATACTGCTATGAACATTTGTGTACAAGTTTTTGTGTGGATATAATGCTTTTGGTTCTCTTGGGAATGTACCTAGAATTAGAATTGCTGGGTATTATGGTAATTATATTCTTAGAATTTAGGGAAATTCTGACCTGGTTTCCTAAGAGGCTGAACTATTTTATATTCATTCCTACCAACAGTATATGAGGGTTCCAGTTTCTCCACATTCTCACCAACCCTGTATGAAGTGTTTTCCCTTTGTGTTTTGATTTGCATTTTCCTAATGATGCTTAGTGTCTTTTCATGTGGTTATTAATCGTTTGTATATCTTTAGAGAAGCAGCTATTGTCCACTTAAAATATTGGTTGTCTTTTTAATATTGAGCTGTGAGAGTTCTTTATATATTCTAAATGCCAGTCCCTTATCAGTTACATGATTTGCAGAATTTTTTTCTAATTATGTGGATAGTCTTTTCATTTTCTTTTTTTTTCTTTTAATACTTCTATTTATTTTTGGCTGTCTGGGTCTTCCTTGCTGGGAGGGCTTTCTCTATTTGCAGGGGGCTGGTGGTGGTGGGGCTCCTGTGGTTGCTGTGCTCAGGTGTCTCATTGTGGTGGCTTTTGTTGTGCAGCACAGGCTCTAGAGTGCACGGGTTTCAGTAGTTGCAGCACATGGGCTCAGTAGTTGCGGCTCCCAGGCTCTAGAGCACAGGCTCAGTGGTTGTGGTACATGAGGTTAGTCGCTCTGTCGCATGTGTGATCCCTCTGAATCAGGGATCAAACCCATGGCTCCTGCATTGGCAGGCAACTTCTTTACCAGTGAGCCACCAAGGAAGCCCTGTCTTTTCACTTTAAAGATGGTTTTATTGAAGCACAAAAACGTTGTAATTTTGATGATGTCCAGTTTGTCCATTTTTTCTTGGGTTGATTGTGCTTTTGGTGTTGTATCATAAAAAGGCTTCACCTAACCTGAGTCACAGATATATATATTTGCTGCATTTAGTGCAGCTAGTAATTGGTTAAGCAATTGATTTTCCCAACGAAAAATGTAGATTGTTGTCCATGAGTATGCCTAAGAAAATGAATTTGAGTGTTTAGAAAGCTCTGATTAGTTTGCCTTTGTGGTAAGAAATTAATAAGCTTTAGTTTTAGCTGTAATAAAAGCAATTTTATGTAACTATACTGAACCTTTATAAAGGGGAGATTCACATAAAAAAGGATATATGTTTCATTGGTGAAATTTTTTTAAACTTTACTTTTTAACTCAGTAATTATATCCTTAATAACCAGTGTATTTTTGAAATTCAGACTGATTTGTTTGAAGGAAAGACCAAACTAAGACAGTATGTGTCATAGGGTAAAAACACCACAAATGCCAATGACTGAGGAACTAGTTAGGATTGTAGGCCAATGTGGGTAATAAAAGCAGAAGCGGAATCACTGTGCCAAAATCAGGAGGCACTCAAAACCTTAAGCTTTTCACTTTATCTTGCTGTTGACAAATTTGAAATATTCAGGACCATCTGCTTAGGATTCTGCCTTTCGTAATGATTGTGTATTTGTTAAATGTTTTTACATTCAGTTTAGTTGTTAAACTAAATTTAAAACTGAGTTGAAAAGAAACTGGAAAATTCTTACATGCTCTCTGTATAATCTTGAAATTTTAGAATTATTCAACTTTAGAGGTCATAAGATCTAGACTCTTAAAGAAGCAGGATTGAAGAGATTAAATTTGTTCAAAGTCACACAGTGGAAGAATACAGGTCACTTGAATGCCTGTGTAGTATTCTTTTCTCCACCTTAAAAAAACCCCCCAAAACCCATCAACATTTCAGTGTAACTTTGGAGAGTGTAACTTTTGTTCACTGCAAACTTTTCTCTCACTGTCTTCGTGAGAGAGCTAAAATTATACGTTTACATAGTCAGAAAAATCTAAAATAAGAAGATCTTCCATCAGGAAGTAAGTGATCATATTATTCTGTGGTCTTGAGGTTGTTATATGTAGCTTTGTTCAAAATTATTACCACCTGGGACTTTGTTGTACTTCTATTTTAGTAACAATGACTTCAGCTTTTAAATCTAGTATTTGACAGAATATTTTTTGGTAGGTATTTTAGAAATTAATTAAATTATTTGGTCATGCTGTGAGGCTTGTGGGATCTTAGTTTCCTGACCAGGGATTGAACCTGAGGCCTCTGCAAGAGAAACGTAGAGTCCTAACCACTGGACCACTGGGGAATTCCCTCTTGGTAGATATTTTTTATCCAAACATGCTGCATCTCAAATGAGTAGCTAGGTTCCTCCCTCATGTGTGTCATGTTCTCAAATTATAGTTTTTCTTTTTACCACCCACATTTTCTACCCACAATGCTCATTTGCAGCTGTGTTTTTTACAACAGTTTTGTGCCCAGAATGTTAATTTCCAGTTCATTGCCTATGTTCATAACCCTACTTAGTAATTTCTTTTATAAGTTATTTTATCTTTAGGCATTTGTTCATTCATACTTTTATACTGCACGCGTGCTAAGTCACTTCGGTCGTGTCAGACTCTTGGTGAACCTGTGGCCTGTAGCCTGCCAGGCTCCTTTGTCTGTGGGGTTCTCCAGGCAAGAATACTGGAGTGGGTTGCCATGTCCTTCTCCAGGGGATCTTCCCAGTGCAGGGATCGAACCCATATCTCTTATGTCTCCTGCATTGGCAGGTGGGTCCTTTATCACTAGCCTCATTACCAAAAAAAATGAAGAGTATAAGAGGATATACAGTGATCTATTTCTTCCTTGTGGCTGTCCTCCAAGCCTCTTTCATCTATCCAGTAACTATAGTTATCAGTTTGTTGTGAATTTTTCCAGTGATAATTTGTGTTATATATATAGAAAATGTGGAGCTTCCCTGGTAGCTCAGCTGGTAAAGAAACCGCCTGCAATGCAGAAGACCCTGGTTCAATTCTAGGTCGGGAAAGATCCCCTGGAGAAGGAATAGGCCATCCATTTTAGTATTCACGGGCTTGCCTGGTGGCTCAGGAGGTAGGGACTCCGCCTGCAGTGTGGGATACCTGGGTTTTGATCCCTGGGTTGGGAAGATCAGATCCCCTGGAGGAGGGCATGGCAACCCACTCCAGCTTTCTTGCCTGGAGAATCCCCATGGACAGAGGATCCTGGCAGGCTACAGTCTGTGGGGTCAGAGTCAGAGCTGACTGAGGGACTAAGCGCAGCACGTAGCACGTGTATTTACTGCAGATGTGTATGTGTGTGTGCCTTTTTTATTGCTTCTCACATCCATGGTAGTAGTCTGTGCACTGCTTTGTACTGTTTTTCACTTAACAATACATCTTGGAGATTCTAAATAGAACTACCTTCTTTATAATAGTTGCTTAATATGTATTGTATGGGTATTTTGTGTTAACTAGTTCTCTAATTCATAGACATGGGTAGTTTCCAGTCTTTTGTTATTAAACACAGTGCTCCATTGAATAACCTTATGGATATGTGTTTGTGCATGTGTGAGCATATGTAGGGATAAATTCATGGAATGGAAGTGCTTGGTCAAAGAAAGTGTACTGTCAATGTGTGAATATGGTTGTTTTTCTCACACCAGACTATCACTTCTATTATCATAGTTTCTGCTTTCTTTTTTTTTTTTCCCACATGTTTTCTTATTTTATTAAATCTTACTAGTATTCCTTAAGGAATAAACACACAGGTGAGTAGGCTACAGTGAAGAAATCTTTTTATAAGAAAGTTAAGACATTAAAAGATACTTCCAGGGATTATCTTCAGTGATGTTTCTTATCTTTTTTCTGGGACTCCAGGTAATATTCAGCCCCTACAGCTACCACAAATGCAGCAAATCCCCACTTGAATTCTTTTAATAATGCTCCAACAAAGGAAACATTATTTGCAAAGCCACCCATGTATCTCCAAACTTCATTGCGGCCCCGTGGATCCCTTAGTCCTCGTGCAGCCAGTTTCTCCTGGACAGTTTCCAATGGTGTCCCTTCTATCTTCCATTGTTTATAATCTGGAAGTTCCATTTTACTAGGACCATGTTCATGTCCATGTCCATGGGCCATGTCTGACAGCAATCTGACCTCTCAGGACACTCAAGCAGTTTCTGCTTTCTTGAATGATATTACTTCCTAGTAAATGATGAGTCATTTTCAGCATGAGTAACAAGGGGAATTTAAAATCACTAATTTGTCCCTTTTTGATAATTTTCATGTGATATATTCCTGGGATGATTTATTATTGCCTACAGTAGTGCTTTCTATACTTTTTGGACCCCATAGGAATCTGATAAAAGTTATATATTTCTTCCTAGAAAAAAAAGTGAATACCCATATTAGAATTTTACCTGTAATTATGAGGTGGGAGGGTCATTGAAATCCTTTTTTTCTTAAATTTAATTTTTTTTAACACCAAAAACATTTTGTGTTCGGGTTCAGTTCCAGTTCAGTCGCTTAGTTGTGTCCAACCCTTTGCGACCCCATGGACTGCAGCACGCCAGGCTTCCTTGTCCATCGCCAACTTCTGGAGTCTACACAAACTTATGTTTGTTGAGTCGGTGATGCCATCCAACCATCTCATCCTCTGTCATCCCTTCTCCTGCGCTCAATCTTTCCCAGCCTCAGGGTCTTTTCAGATGAGTCAGCTCTTCGCATCAGGTGGCCAAAGTATTGGAGTTTCAGCTTCAACATCAGTCCTTCCAATGAACACTCAGGACTGATCTCCTTTAGGATGGACTGGTTGGATCTCCTTGCAGTCCAAGGGACTCTTGATCAAGAGTCTTCTCCAACACCACAGTTCAAAAGCATCAATTCTTCGGTGCTTAGCTTTCTTTATAGTCCGACTCTCACATCCATACATGACTACTGGAAAAACCATAGCCCTGAGTAGATGGACCTTTGTTGGCAAAGTAATGTCTCTGCTTTTTAATAAGCTGTCTAGGTTGGTCATAACTTTCCTTCCAAGGAGTGTCTTTTAGTTTCATGGCTGCAGTCACCATCTGCAGTGATTATAGAGCTCCTGAAAATAAAGTCAGCCACTGTTTCCCCATCTATTTGCCATGAAGTGATAGGACCAGATGCCATGATCTTAGTTTTCTGAATGTTGAGCTTTAAGCCAACTTTTCCACTCCTCTTTCACTTTCATCAAGAGGCTTTTTAGTTTTTCACTTTCTGCCATAAGGGTGGTGTCATCATAGCTGATTAACAATGTTTGATAGTTTCAGGTGAACAGTGAAGTGACTCAGCCATACATACACATGGATCCATTCTCCCCCAAACCGCCCTCCCATCCAGGATGGCACGTAAGATTGAGCAGAGAAGGAAATGGCAACCCATTCCAGTATTCTTGCCTGGAGAATCCCATGGATAGAGGAGCCTGGCGGGTCCATGGGGTCACATGATTGAAGTGACTGAGCACCATGTGCTATTCAATAGGCTTTTGTTGGTTATCCATTTTAAATACAGCAGTGTGTATGATACCACCGTTATGGCAGAAAGTGAAGACAAACTAAAGAGCCTCTTGATGAAAGTGAAAGAGGAGAGTGGAAAAAGTTGGCTTAAAGCTCAACATTCAGAAAACTAAGATCATGGCATCTGGTCCCATCAGCTCATGGCAAATAGATGGGGAAACAGTGGCAGACTTTATTTTTTTGGGCTCTAAAATCACTGCAGATGGTGACTGCAGCCATGAAACTAAAAGACACACTCCTTGGAAGGAGAGTTATGACCAACCTATACAGCTTATTAAAAAGCAGAGACATTACTTTACCAGAAAGGTCCATCTAGTCAAGGCTGTGGTTTTTCCAGTAGTCATGTATGGATGTGAGAGTTGGTCTATGAAGAAAACTGAGCACCGAAGAATTGATGCTTTTGAACTGTGATGTTAGAGAAGACTCTTGAGAGTCCCTTGGACTGCAAGAAGATCCAACTAGTCCATCCTAAAGGAGATCAGTCCTGAGTGTTCATTGGAAGGACTGATGTTGAAGCTGAAACTCCAATACTTTGGCCACCTGATGCTAAGAGCTGACTCATTTGAAAAGACCCTGATGCTGGGAAAGATTGAAGGTGGGAGGAGAAGGGGATGACAGAGGAAGAGATGGTTGAATGGCATCACCAACTCAACAGACATGAGTTTGGGTAAACTCTAGGAGTTGGTGATTAACAGGGAGGCCTGGCATGCTGCAGTCCCTGGGATCGCAAACAGTCAGATACGACTGAGTGACTGAACTAGAACTGATGCCCATTTATGTATCCATAGGACCCAGGTAAACTTCCTGCTTTATTTGATTGATGCAAATAAACTCTTGTGTCTAGGTTGGCATAATGAACATTTCAGAATCTAGCTCCACTATGTGAACTTAGGTTTCCAGCTTCTTCCTCAAATGCTCCCTCTCCTCAGGACCCTGTCTTTGAACCATTAAAAAACAAACAAAACCGCTTAAAATCGAGTACACCTAAAACTAATGCAGTGTTTTATGTCAGTTATATTTCAAAACAAAAAAGCAAAACCTCTGTAGTTGTCTCTTTACTTGCTGTTTCCTCTGCTTGGAATTACCTCAGTCCCTTTATCCCCTTGGTGTATCCTTTTTGTAAATCACCATATATGTTAGTTCATCTGAATCTTTGTTTCACATTTGTGCTCCCCCTCTGTGTCTTCCCATGGCATTCTGTCTCACAACACAATGTTTAATACATGGATAGGAGAAGGAGATGGCAACCCACTCCAGTATTCTTGCCTGAAGAACCCCATGGACAGAGGAGCCTGGTGGGCTAAGGTTCATGGGGTTGCAAAGAGTCAGACATGACTGAAGTGACATAGTACATTAGGACGATTCAATATTGTGAAGTGGTTAGTTCTTCTCAGCTTAATTTATAGATTCAATATGATCCCAGTCAAAATCCTTGCAAGTTATTTTTTGGATGTTGATAAACAAAGGTCCTTATTTGAATAGATAGTATCATCAGTGCCTGTTAAATGAATGGTTACTATAGAACAGAATATTCACAGAATTCTAAGGCTTTACCCTATGGTGTTAAACACTTTAGATATCCAGAGAAATTGAAGAAAGAAGTTAATACCATACATTTGCCTCTTAAATTCAACATTTGTTAGGAGTTTCTGTATTTTCTTGTTAGGGCTGATATATCACAATGTAAGTTCAGTCACTAAAGTCTGTTCAGTCGCTCAGTCATGTCTGACCTTTGTGACCCCATGGACTACAGCATGCCAGACTTCCCTGTCCTTTACTATCCTCGGGGTTGCTCAGACGCATGTCCATTGAGTTGATAATGCCATCCAACCATGTCATCCTTTGTTTCCCCCTTCTCCTCCTGCCCTCAGTCTTTCCCAGCATCAGGGATCTTTTCCAGTGAGTTGGCTCTTAACATCAAGTGGCCAGAGTATTGGAGCTTCAGCATCAGCCCTTCCAATGAATATTCTGGGTTGGTTTCCTTTAGGATTGACTGATTTGATCTCCTTGCTGTCCAAGGAACTCTGAAGCGCCTTCTCCAGCACCATAGTTCAAAAGCATCAATTCTTTGGTGCTCAGCCTTCTTTATGGTCCAACTTGCACATCCGTATATAGTTGCTGGAAAAACGATAGCTTTGACTCTGTGGACCTTTGTTGGCAAAATGATGTCTCAGCTTTTTAATACGCTGTGTAGGTTTGTTGTAGCTTTTCTTGCAAGGAGCAAGCATCTTTTAATTTCAGGCCTGCAGTCACTGTGCAGTGATTTTTAGAGCCCGATAAGATAAAATCTGTCACTGTTTCCATTTTTTCCCCATCTATTTTCTATGAAGTGATGAGACCGAATACCGTGATCTTAGTTTTTTTAATGTTGAGTTTTAAGCCAGTTTTTTTCACTATGCTCTTTCACCTTCATTATGAGGCTCTTTAGTTCCTCTGCACTTTCTGCCGTAAGGTTGGTGTCATCTGCATAGCTTAGATTGTTGATATTTCTCCTGGAAGTCTTGATTCTAGCTTGGCATTTCACATGATGTACTCTGCGTATAAGTTAAATAAGCAGGGTGACAATGTATAGCCTTGATGTACTCCTTTGCCTCTTCTGAACCACAGACTTAAACAAATAGACATTTGCTGTCTTCCAGTTCTGGAGGTTTGGTGTCTGAGATGATGGTTCAGCAGGGCTGTGGTCCCTCTGAAGGTGCTAGGGACAGATCTGTTCCAGTACTTTCCTACCTGGTTTCTGGTAGTTCCTTGGCCTGTGCCAGCGTGTGTTCTAAATTTCCCCTTTTTATAAAAACACTAATCATGTTGAATTATTGACCCATTCTGCTCGTGTATGATTCCATCTTAACTAATGATATCTGCAGTGATATAGGGGGGTAGGTGTGGCGGCGGTGGTGGTGGTGAAGACTTCACCATATGAATTTTGAGGGAATGTAATGCAACCAGTAGCACTCTATCTCTTATATAGAGATACATACATACATTCATACCTTTTAACCGTTTGAGAGTAATTGTGGATATCATGACAAATGATGCTTCAGCAAGCAGTGTCAGCATGCAGTAACACATCTAAGAAAATCAGCCGTAATTCCCTAATAATATGTAATATCTGGTCCATTCAAACAGCTTTTAGTAACTGTTTTTCCCCCCAGAAATGTTTTTTCCCCAGCAGACAGCCATTTGGTTGTCTCGTTGGACTTGGTTAACTAGTTTAACTAGTAGGACTTGTTTAAAAAGCAGTCCTTTTGCTTTTTTCTTTCTCATACATATACCTTTTTTTTTTTTCAAGATTTAACAGAAGTATCACATTTGCAGATCAAGCATCTATGCCTTGCCAACCTGATTGATTGGTTGAAGCCTTCATTTGCTTTCTCTGTCCAAGAGTCTTAATACAGAAGGCGTGTCTCTTGATGGACAGTTTACAGGACTGTTACATTAAGTTGTTCTGGAGAGTGGACTTTATCTTTGTACATTTCAAGGGTTATCCTGTCACCTCAAAAATGTTTATTTTGTTGATGCTACACATTCTGTATTTTAAATTAGACTGTTGCATATAGGCCCTTTTAATTTGATAAATATTCTCTTAGCTCATCACCT